GATTTATACCCTCAAGGTTTAGGCGTTGTATGTGACTTTTTACAAGATTCTCTTGAATATACATAGCTTTGTAATAATATAGGGTAACGGTGACAGTATCGTCAATTCATTATGAACTGTCACCATCAACAAATTGAAATAGATTAGCAAAGCCTATATGTTTTTCGCCAGAATTGCGTAGTTTTTATGCATACTTTTGACTCATTTGACTACCATTGTCTACCAAATTGACAGAGTTGTTTCAAAATAAATAATAACTGGTGGAAAGATTCACCTTCAATTGGCGTGTGTCGTTCTTTGAAAATTATGAATAAAGTACCATGTCCCGAAATTGAAGATCACGATTATCTACAAGCACTCGGACTTTTGAAAAGAGATGATAAACATACCAATTTAATGACTATACTTTTGAGAAATTAATTTGTCAAGTCCACTCGAAGTATGCATTTTCATCCTGACTACAGACCGAGATTTTTGAGACAAACAAAAAGTAAACTTGAACATTATACCTAGTCTAGTGTAAAACATCTCAAAAATTATCAAAACATTGAATACTTGATTTTTATTAAACCTTGTTCAAGAACTGCTTCTTAGACAAGGTACTTCGAACTGATAGATACTATTTATAAGATTGTAGTTTATCCAAAATGGTTGATCGGTTTCTGATAAGTGATTTGATGGAACAAAACTTCCAGGTTGGAGGTGACAAACCTCAAATGGCATAGGAAGGATTGTCCCTGCTAATCTGAATCATTTTTCCAATTTGCACGGTGCATCATTGTGGCTTTTGTCTTATGATTGTCTCGCTGAGAAAGGAGATTACACAAAGTATACTAGCGCCTTTTTTATGATATTGGTGCGTTTCCGAGTTTTAAGCACTGTGCCCTGGAGGGGTATTATGTAAAAAACCTAAAAAGCATTAGGAAAAAAACGAACAATGTCATTTTGCTAAGTTAAAATCTTGTAGAAAAACCTATGTTATGTCACAAAAAAACCTACAAAATGTCAAAAAACGACAAAATGTCACTTTTGAAGATACCTAATACCTTGTACTTCAAAAAAAAGTCGTTTCGTGCCTCTTGCCATCATCTGTCAATCAAAAATTGTCTTTTATTTTATTAATCTTTGCCGTGCCTTTACTGCAGATTTTCAAAAAAACAGTGCATAACTTGAGACATTGGCTAAAAAAATGTTTGCTTGAAAAGTGACAAGTAAAAGCCGTAAATCGTAAAGCCGTTGAGCTCATTTGATATTTCTGCACTGAGTGCAAAACCAGCACAAAGTTCAGAGCAAAGGAACTGGTTTTGTAAAAAAAAAAGGTAAAGAATTCACCAGCAAAACCAGTTTCATCAAAAGAAAAATGCTAGTTTACGGTTGTACTTGGCCCGCAAAGCCTTGCTCAGAGTGTCACCAACGTTGCAGAACAAAAATAATAATGACATCACAAAAATAAAAAATGGCCAAGACTTTGAAATAACAAATAAATCCTCGTTTCGTTGCATAAGAGGGTATCTCGATTTTTCAGGAGGCACCTCCAGAGTTTTGCTTTAAGGGATTGAAAATAGAAGAAATGTACTTTTGAGAGGCTTACACTTTGTGTAAAATGTCAATAAACGATACAACAGATATACGAGGGGCTGTCGCTATATAGCTAGCTATATCTAAATATATAGCGAGAGGTCCTGGTATATCTCTACTATTAATGACTTTCTTCTGAGCTGATATCAACAGCGTATCATAGCACACATAAGACGTATCAATATATACTCTATATACTATAATAACTTATAATTTTTAGGTTAGGTTAGCATCTATAATAGGTGCTCTTGTGAAATACGCCTGTATGACAGATTTAACGAAAATGCGTCTTACGCCCTTATACAAGGGGAGCGACGATTACATTTAAAAAGTACTCCTATAAAATAAATCGTCTTTATTTAGGATAAAGTTTAGATTATAGCTATTCTGCCACAGAATTAAATTAACATCAAAAATAGATAAATAGAATCAAATGTGTAAATTATAGTACAGTGCCTAGTACTAGTAGTATTATATAAATATCACATAAATCCACCTATGATATCAAAATTGTTTTAGGACCTGCAGAGTTCATGTTCATAATTTAGAGAAATGAGGTGTAATTATTGTCTTTAAATGTCTTGTTCAGAAATGATTTTCTTGACTTGTTCCTTAAAATCGTTCTTTCTGCAGAAAACATAATAAGCGAAACTTAAATAATATTGTTACATCTAACCAATATGAACAAGGAATATCAAATGCCTCGCCAATAAGCCTATTAGAAAAAAAAATATTTTTTTTTTTTGAATTGACTCAACTTTTGGTGATATACAAACAGATTTGAACAAAAGGCCCTGCCTTTCCGGCGCATACGTCGCTTTCTATTTTTTTATATGCATTTCGCTGATTTACGATTCTGCACGGCGGGTGCTTATCAGAAGCTGAAGATTTATGAATGAAGAACAAACACGCAGGCGAGTCCTCTGTAGGGTGTTATCGATGAAGATTTATGCGAGTTAATGATATACAAATGAATCGGCCGTTACGCGAAAGACATTTAAGAGGGTGTGGAGTAGAAGATGGGAGCTTGGATTGTAATTGACTGCTGACAGCAGTGACGAGTTAATGATTTCGGATAAATAATACATTCAATGCGTATCTGCATATAGGATGTGTGATTTATTGTGCGTATTATGCATGCTGAAGGTGGTTATTAAAGTACCATGCTAGTTCCGGTTTGACAGCTAAGGCAGGCAGGTACTTTTGACTTTAGGCCATGCTGATTTCGTATGCCAATGATGGCAAGCACCAACTAAGATGATTCAAAACTAAATTAGTATGTTACTAAAAATGTATAAAATTGGCGAATTTAGAGGATCTAGATTAATGATGAGATCGTATTGTTATGAATTACGTAAAAAACTGTATAAGACTTTAATTGTATTTATCTTAAATTAACCACGTTTCGGCTAAATATTCAAACGTGTTGTAGTAGTACAGTAGTTTTGCATATAATGTTGCCATACAATATAATAGAATTACTGAGGCGTATAAACAAATATTTGATTCCCATGTTCCGTAAAAAGGTTAAACTTTTGTTAATTTCATCAATCGCTTGATCATGAAATTCCTTACATACTTTCATAAATATCATTGTAGCTCTGTATCTTTTTTTAATAGGCATTCGATTGCGATTTCACTATTTTAGAATTTTTCGAATTGTTAGTGTACCACTTAATGCATGTTGCGGATTGATTGGTTAAATGTAAGAGTAGCAAATGCTAAACTTCTCCCATCAGTCTGCTGTAAGGTTGTAATTCTGTTGATGAAGACATTTATTATTATTACTCACATTGGAAACTTCTCTCAAAGTAAAGATCACCCTGACTGTCTTGTTTTTATTCAGCACCATATAGTCTGCTTGCAGTGAACCATTTTTCTACCATCTTCTGTGACCTCATGGAACCCAACAACGAATCTTCAAGGTTCCCCCCCTGACAGGTATGGTTGGACTTGGTACATGAATTCGCGCTTGTAATTACGGCCTATCATTAGGTCACACCCTATATGGTGAAATGAAAGACGAAAACAAGGTCTTTTCGAGAACCCCATGCCGCCAACAGTTTTCTATCGGCGATTTTGTCGTCTGACTTTAAGGAAGTTTATCTTGATTCTTCTGCGTTCAAGTGCATACTAATTTTTACTAGCGGGCTTATCTGAGATATCCCGACTTCGATAATAAATCGAGAAGCATTGAGGCAGTAGTCCATTTTTACATCCAAGGGATTTATGGAGCTTTTAGCTGCGAGTTTGTCTCGGTTGCTGGGGTTGCTGACCACTTCTAGTGGAAAGCAGATAGATTAACCGCCAACCTCCTGCTACTTAGAAATGAATAGGCGTGTCTGCTCATCCGATGTATTATCTCTCAAAAGATGGTGAATCCAGTATGTTAAATTGGTATGCCCCATGTTTTAATTATTGTTTAGTTGCAATGAAGTGACAGTTCATAATAATCCAGTAATTTGGAGCTCAAAATCATATAAAATCTGGTATGCTCTCTTTAACATCATTTATGTACCTTGTAACCTTTTTGTTTAAGCCGCCTTATCCTATGTGAAAAAAATTGGTTTCTCAATGGGATGTTAAAATACCATACAATATTTTTACTTTGGCAATGAATTTTTTTCAGCCAGATTTTAATGTAACAGTGAATAAGTTAGAATGTTTCGATTTTTTATATACTCGACAAAAAATAAAAAGTTTACTCAAAAATTTATTTGATCACCTTGAAGTTTAAGGTCAGGTTAATTTTCTAGAGTGTACTTGAACCTAAAATTAAAAATAGACGATTTTCGTTAAAATTCATTTGATATTCAAATGACCTTGATGGTCAAGGTCGAGGACAAACTCTTGCTTTGCTCTTTTTATGTCCCGTACCGTAAGTGATTTTCATGTAAGGAAACTATCTGACAAATGAGCGTTAAAATCATAGGCAAGGTCTCGTTCAAGGTCACCATTATTTGAACTTTTCCAAACCCTACAACTTTATTACACATTTTTCTTCATGAAACGTATTTTTCCAGATACTTTGTCCTTCCCTACTTTCTGGACACCTTTATAAGCTCACTAATATCATGATCAACGTCATGGGCAAAGACGTAAAAATTCACCGCTCTTCACATTTCCGGCGTCAAAAACAGGGGTTTCTTATAAGAAAATCATCTTACCCTTCAAATCCAACCAATGTTCAACTTCGTGCTATAATATTTTTTCTCTAAGAGACGTATTTTTCGAGACACTATACTACACACTTTTTGAACAGCCTGTATATTTTTGCGGATAAAGCTATGACTATAACCTCCCACGGGTTTCCCACGACATGAAAAATTGCCAATTTGGGGACAAATCGCCAAACATGGCAACCCTGTCCGTCATACACAAGTGCGCGTTGGGCAATGCGCATTCCTGCATGTCGTCTGGAGTTTCATCAGGGATGATGTAACGTATTCTTGCGTGACTTGAAAGCAACCCCTACAAGGTAACATAACACAAATTGAAAACCACAAATAAATGCAGACCCCTTTTATTTGTAACCTACGTAAATGCAATTAATGCATATTTATTCACTAATACACATCCGATATCTCCAACAACGAGCTCTTCAGTTCAGCAATGGACTGCACGTATCTTCTTTCTTTCTCAGCTCTTTGTCTTCCGTCTCCCTAGAGAAGAACAGAGTATTAGAACCCTCATCATAGCAACGTACGGCGTTTAACAGACAGGAATATGTCAAACCTATTTCAACATAGTTACAAGTTAAGTTTGATTCCCGTTCCAAGTTGCTAAAGGACCTGAATATTCTTTTGAGTCAATAAGTAGATCAGATCACTTCAACCTATGTAGATAAAGATGATCTTAGGTTACATATTTCACAGTTTTTTTTATATCTCGGTATTTATCACATAAAGTCAGACCACTTTACGTGGTCCTTTCATGTTTAGTCTAGCAAGCCTTTTAGATTGTCGAAACATCTGATTGCCTCAGCATTCTCTTGGATTGACTATCAGCTTCAGCATGCTATGTCTGATTAGGTAAAATGACAGGTGACACTTACTAAGTACGTGACCAGTTGGGGCTGACCTTGGACAGATATTCTAGCTCGGACACATGTCTGAGGCTGCTCGTCGCAGACGACGTACGCTTGTCGAATTCCGGAATATTGGTTTTTGGTGTTTCTCCAGTAATTCAGAAGTGCCTAAATGGTACAATAGAAATTACTAGTTTTCAAAAAAATAAATACATAATTTGCACCGTCAAATGCTTTGAGTAACGTTCTTTTAGCTTATAATAGCGATAATAATATTTATATAAGTATATATATAAGTACAACCGTAAACTAGTGTTTTTCTTTTCATAAAACTGGTTTTGCTGGTGAATACTTTACGTTTTGTTTACAAAACCAGTTCCCTTGCTCTGAACTTTGTGCTGGTTTTGCACTCAGTGCAGAAATATCAAATGAGCTCAACGGTTTTACGATTTACGGCTTTTACTTGTAACTTTTCAAGCAAACATTTTTTTAGCCAATGAGTCAAGATATCCTCTCTTTTTTGAAAATCTGCCGTAAATGCACGGCAAAGATTAACAAAATAAAAGACAATTTTTGATGGACAGATGATGGCATGAGGCACAAAACGACTTTTTTTTGAAGTTCAAGGTATTACGTATCTTCAAAAGTGACATTTTGTCGGTTTTTTTGACATTTTGTATGTTTTTTTGTGACATAACATAGGTTTTTCTACAAGATTTTAACTTAGCAAAATGACATTAGTCGTTTTTTCTTAATGCTTTTTAGGTTTTTTACATAATACCCCTGCAGGGCACAGTGCTTGAAACTCGGAAACGCACCAATATCATAAAAAAAGGCGCTAGTAAACTTTGTGTAATCTCCTTTCTCAGCGAGACAATCATGAGACAAGAGCCACAATGATGTACCGTGCAAACTGGAAAAATGATTCAGATTAGCAAGGACAATCCTTCCTATGTCATTTGAGGTTTGTCACCTCCAACCTGGAAGTTTTGTTCCATCAAATCACTTACCAGAAACCGATTAACCATTTTGGATAAGCAACTACAATCGTATAAATAGTAGCTATCAGTTCGAAGTTCCTTGTCTAAGAAGCAGTTCTTGAGCAAGGTTTAATAAAAATCAAGTATTCAATGTTTTGATAATTTTAAAGATGTTTTACACTAGACTAGGTATAATGTGCAAGTTTACTTTTTGTTTGTCTCAAAAATGTCGGTCTGTAGTCAGAATGAAAATGCATACTTCGAGTGGACTTGACAAATTAATTTCTCAAAAGTATAGTCATTAAATTGGTATGTTTATCATCTCTTTTCAAAAGTCCGAGTGCTTGTAGATAATCGTGATCTTCAATAATATATATATATATCGATATTTAAAGTGCTGCCATAAAACACTCTTGAGTTGAGGACGAGAGCACATAAAGATATTACAAATACTGCATATTCTGTAAGCTCACCCACATGGCTCATACAGAACAATTTACGCGGGCTGTTTTAAAAATAAGGGTTGGCAACGTTGTAGCTTTGCGATGCTAGGCGAAATCTGACTTTTTTATTTCAAAAAGCAAATTCAAGTCATCAGCAAATAGCAATGTTTTGCAATGGATGCTGCTACTTATATCGTTGACAAATGACAAAAAAAGATGATCACCTGTGGTACTCTTGAAGATGATGTATTTCGAAAATACTAGAAGCCATTGTATGATTATGTAAATAGGATCTTAATAAGGATGTCGTTATCCTAGATTCATAATTGTATGAGCAATGTTTCTAAATATTCTTCATTCCGATAAAAACAGTAGAATAACAATAGAAAGGAAGGCGTAGGTGTAATGACTTATTGTTCATACCAAGACCTACCAGGACAGGTTCGAAAAGCCGGGGCTGAACCTAAGACTTATAGGGCAAGATCATAAGTATTGAATTCGTCTAAGCCAGCGACCGAAAATCAGCTAGCTCGAAAATGTGCAGCTAATCATCTTACAGGTCCAGAGCTTTAGTCTCTAGCAAAGTCTCTAGAATGATGGAACGGCTAGTTGCGACAGAGGCAGAGACAAGAGTTCAACACAGAGCGACAACCTCCATTTGTGTAGGACCTGCTCAGACAATGGTGGGCCGAAATGAACGTAATTGCTTACCTTCCATCTAGCCACGACCAACCATAGACACCTCTGTTTCATGTTCATTAGCAACTCGTCAGTGTGGTATATGTATAGGTCTCGTAGTCTTGGAGACAGATAAGTCAAGTAACTTCGTATGATCTTTTGAAAAACTCAAAATGATGTGCGGAAGTCGGCGAAAAATCTGACGGCGTCTAGGTGACACGACATCTATCTGTGCATTGCGCAGAACGTCGGGCAGTTATGAGCCAGAGGCGTAGGGGCTTTGTGACATCTTCATCGTATGGAATCAAGGTGAAGATCAGGCTGGCAAGCCATCGGCAAACCATTAGTAAGTGGAAATTGTCCGATTGTTCGACTACTTCCGCACAATAGTCATCAAAATCGACATGTGAGACTCTGGGTGTAGCAGAAGAGATCATGTGCCGATTCTGCAGAGATCATTAGGAAACCCCAGTCCATCTATTGTGTCACTACGAAAGCCTGACAAGTTAAAGGTTTTGGATATTCAAAATCACGAAGCCAATAGCAGATAGCTACATGCAAAGCTATGTGTAGAGAATTTGGAATCTGATTAGATGGTCAAGGGTGGACACAGAGATTTAGACATACTATACAGCATATCCTCAAAGATGGAACTTTCATTCCGACCCCGCCTCTCTTCCTTTCAACGTCAAGTGGTACGATCTTTTGTAGTACCACGACTACGTGAATCAATATCCAAATCACTTAAGTTACAAGCAAACCGCATTTAAATTTTCGCAATAACGTAGATTTGTTGTTGTGTACTGTGAGCATCTTCAAAATCCTGTTGATGCTCCTGAAGTGAGTTTGTGTTTGAGTATTTAGAACGTGGCCCTCGTCCTTGGTATTTCCGTCAGAGCCGTGTAGGTTTGTTTATATCGTATACTAGTAGTATAATTACGAAATAAACATGTGACAGACCAGTACTTGAAATGGCATACCAAATAAATAGTGAGTATTCTCTTTAATTTGTTTGTCGCATCTTCCGTGCTGCTTTACGACAAATGGTCTTTGTTATTTCAAACGCAGTTGTTTCTGGAAATGAATCTCCAATTCTTCATGAATAAGAAAGTGTATAGCTCACCTCACATTCTGGATTAGAAAGGCAACTAGAGTCTACAAAGAGCACAGCTTCCATATTGGCTGACGACCTTGCTGAAGACAGTCCAACAGGCCCTTTGAACTCAGCAAATAGGTCGTCAGTTGATGCCAGCTCTGATATGTCCATTTCTGGAACGCCGTCGGTCAATGGTGCTGCAAAGAATAATTACAACTAGTTGTTAATAATTGGCTAATCGCTCACAATGTGCTGTCATTAATAATAATTTTTCTAACTCTACCAACGTCATGTCTGGTGTTACACCAGGGTCTGTTTTGGGACCTTTGTTATTTCTAATAAATATTTCCGTTTTTCCTTCTGTGATAGCTAATCTCTACAATACAGTTATTTGCAACCCGGTTGCTCCTCCATTTTGGTCTTCATGATCAACAAGCAGCCCATCCCTATCTTGCAGAAGCTATAATGATTTTATTTTCTCAATAATGCTCAAGTCAGTCTCCTTTCTTAGACTCCTTGATCTACAGACCTTTTGTCCATTGAACATGTGTAGGTTATGTTGCAAAGAAAAGTCATCTCCATAGCCTCATCCTCTAGAACCGATAGCAACTTTTCATGGTTAGGATGATGTACAATGTCATGTTTAACTGTATATAAAATATCGTAAAAGTCAAGTCATTTTCAGTGAGTATATTTACATAGCGTGCTCTATCACCAACTTACCTTCTCTTACTGGTTTTGGCAAAATGTTTCCAAAGTGGGTCTCCAATTTGTTAATGAACTCATCAATAACGCCAACAGTCTTCATCATCACTGAGTGGTGTAGTGTAGAGGAAACGTGAGTACGTATCAGCTGAGCTTGGAAGTCCACAGTTTCTTTCTTGATTTGATGTAAAGGTAGGATCAATTCCGAAGGTACCGACGTCGTCTTGGTTTCACGAATCACCTGCAGCAGCGCATCGAATAGAGGACCGTCTGATTGATGAGGCTGGTGGGCCTGTAGAGACCTGGCCAGTATAAACAGAGCTGTGTTGAGGGTTGGATACTGTTCTGGCGGCATTCTGCTACCGATAAGGATTCGAGATGGTTTCAATGAGACGCGGTTCACTGCAAATATAGTCAGCGCTACTCTCACGTTTTGTAAGAATTGTACCACCTGCAATAAGTAAAATTAAAGCGATAAACATCTGTTGAAATCCACTGACGGTCTTGATAAAGGTGGAAGTAGGATCTAGAAAACTAGTAGGTTGTATGACCTAGAAGATCTGGGTGGTCAATATAAAACTGTCTCATACGTTTCTCTAATATCTTTGGAATGAAATGAATTAGACTGCTATCCTTGTCTTTCGTGGATAGGTAAACATTACCTAGTAGTCGCATCTGGAAGCAGTCCTTAAGAAGGCAAGGATCTCGCTATGGAACTGCCTAAGGGTCTGTGGAAAGAACTGAGGAATGAAACCTGTTTTGGCTTTATACCATGTATCAGTAGCTTGGTGGGGCAAGGTAGCACAAAGAACTGTCCAAGCTAAACTGAGAGAAATACAGAGAGAAGCTTGTATGTTCATCACTGGAGCCTTCCGTACCTCACCTACTGCAGCTAAAGAGGTCCTTCTTAATTTACCCCTCTTGCACATATACCTGGAACGCGAGGCAAGAAGGTCATCTTATAAACGATATCATGTGGCAAGTGGTATAATGGACAATATCACTATGGAGGAAACGGTGGTGGACTTACAAAACCACCACAGTCTGGAATTATATCTGATATAATGCCAAAGCAAACAAATATGCTAAACCCTACTCAGTGGCAAGTCCACACAGGTGGCTCAAAGACCGAGGTAGGTGTTGCAGCTGGTATCTTCGTGCCGAAGCTAAAGATTAGAAAAACCGTTAGCCTAAGAACCTGATCATCGATCTCCCAGGTTATATATGCTATATATGCTATATATGCTATAGAACTGGCTGCCAGAATGGCAAATGAGGCACCGAACTATATTTGTTTTTTCAGATAGTCAAGCCCCACTTAAAGCACTTGACTCTACCTGCTCGATATCGAAATTAGTGTGGAGTTGCATAGAAGATCTCGGTGGCATAAGGGAGGGAAATGGAGTCCGTCTCATATAGATACCAGGAGACACAGGCCTAGAGGGAAACGAGACAGCTGACACTCTGGGAAAGAGGGGGGCTAGCACACTCTTCATAGGGCCTGAGGCAGCGATTGGTTTCGCATACAATACGGCTAAACAAATAATCTCTGCAGAGATGGACAGAAAGATCCATCAATACCGGGATGGGTTAGCAGGGTTAAACCATGTTAAGGCAACTGTACCAATCTTGACAAGGAAGGTTTCAGACTCTTTGCTATGGCTGAACAGGAATAGCCTCAAAGCTCTAGTAGGAACGTACACTGGTCATTGCAAATTGCTTCACCACATGAGCAGGCTGGGCATGGCGGAAGAAAGTTGAGTGCAGACTGTGCATGGGGGAATTGAAACGGTCAGGCATGTATTGTGCAGATGCCATGCAATTGCTAGAATCAGGTACACCATACTTGGTCACGTAGTACTCCAAGCAGAAGACCTGAAGGATATTTCTCCAAACAGGTTGATCGACTTCCCAGGAATTCGGAGCTACTGGGGGAAATATAAATAGATGTGAGTCACAATAGACCAAAGAGTAGCAGTGGAGGATCGTTATAATATAAACCTAACCTAACCTATCTAGTAGTACAGGGTCGCTGATATATAACTGACAGATCTGTTTCTCTAAAATCTTTGTAGTTAAATGGAATAGTTCCAACTTCTATGGAAAGTTGAGGATTATTTAAAAAAAATGGCGTCAAGGAGATTGCACTATACAAGTTCCAGAAGCTTCAAGATTAATGCGAGACGTCTTCATGGAATCCATGAAGCTTTTCAGCAAGTTGATCTAGAGGAAGAGTCTGACCTTCCTTTGGATTCAGTATATAATACTAACATAGCTTCTTACCCTAGGATGTTTTGTGTAACCATTATCTTCGGTGATGGACCTAGTGAGATGGTAGAAAGCGATGCTCAATCCGTAATGCAAGTGATCATTATTTGGATGTCGTACTAATGAGCTTACGATCTTTACAATAGTCTGGACTTGTCTCTCTTGGAACACCTTGTGCTTAATGGACACCAGCAAATTTTCGTACAGTTTCGTCAAGCGTTGTGACTCGACTTGTTGAACTGTAACGCGCAGACTTTTGAATATACCCTGCACTAAAGCTGGTATGACTGGTCTTACGTTCGAGAGGAACACATCTGTGTTTGAGTGCAGGTTTTCGATCATAACCGAGAATAGTCGGTGTAAATGTGTCCTGACGATGTCTTGTGGCAGTCCCATCCTTTGCAGGTACCTCCCAAAATCATTCACTATGTAGTCAGGCTTATTTTGTGGTCTGTTCTTCATGCACGCTATCTCCCTCACGTTGTTCACCAAATAATCAAATGCTAAATATTGTCTTACATCGACCTGATAAGATGAGCCACCAAGGACATGTAGCAGGCTTGCGACACTTCTAGATACCGATGTTTGACTTATTGAGCTGCATTGGAAGCTGCTATGAACTGGAGCCACAACTTGCTTCAGTAGCTCTACAAGTGTGTTAGGGTTAGCTTTTGTTGAAATTGCACGCACAAGAGGCTTGAGCTGCTCAAAGCAAGGTTCCCAGGTGTTCACTTGTATTTCTTGGACGACAATTCTTCTTACTACATTCACCAATAGGTTTCTCAGACCAATGTCTAGAGAAACTCGCTTAGCTGGAATGACTACGTGTCCCCAGTGAATATGTGCAGCTTGAGATACTTGTACAATATGGCGATGCAGGACTGAGATATCAGGTGCAGTTCTTGTCCTTAGCACGTATAGAATGAGCTGCTGGAAAGTCTGGGTGAATTGTGAAGACGGCGCGCAACCATACAGCCCTGATATCTTTATCAGCAGTTTCTTGATGATCAGAGAGACTCTTTGTGGTTCTCTGTGGTAAACTCCAGAAATTCTTATACCTGCAAGAAATACACTGTTACTATTGAATATGAATTAAACCTTGGATAATATAAATGGCAACACCGGCTTGATGATGCCGGCATATTAGCTTCGACCATTAACTTGACTCCCTATCTCCATAACACAAATTAGGCATCACTAGGTAACCCTAAGCTGGTCCTGCCATTTACACTTCCTATAATGTCCCAGCTGTGCAATACCCCTTGCAGCATACTGTATAATATACAATACAATATAATATAACAACCATGCATAGTATGCATGGTTGTTATCCTAGATGACGTGCTGTTTCCAGTAAACAAATCTGTACTTCAAAGCCAGACTAGGTTAAGTCCAAATTCTGGTATTTTAAGTTTAATATGCTAAGCAGGCCTCTGGCTGCCTAGAGCAAAACAAGGTTACGTCATTGTTTGTCGCGTATAATATTTTCAGTGTACTATGTTATGCTTGTTATAATTTGCCTCACACAGCTATATATATATATATATATATACATAAAATATAATATGGATATGTACAGAATAAATAATATCATAGCAAGAACTGTTTCTTATATATAGCAATAGCATAATGTCTTCCAGATCTAAAAGAATGGTAGATCTAGCTAAGAGCTAATCGCAGAAACTCAACTGTCATTTTGCAATAAGAGGTAGGTGTAGTATGTACGAGCCCCTTCCCACTTCATTTGGCCAAACTATTGAAATCTTAGTTTTTTTTTATCAAACACAAATAATAAAAATGTAGCAGGGTGTTATAGGTTTAAAATATTAACAATGAATACTTTGATAATATATAGTAGAAAACACCCACTTTATCACTCCCTAATCAAATTTGCATCATAAAAATAACGCATGTTGCAATTACAGCATATCAACCTATTTTCATTTCAATGCAAAATAAGTCTAGGTGGCTGTGAAAAATAAAAGCCATGACAATTGTTTTTATTAATCACAGCTGTCAGAATACGTTTAAAATAGTTTTGGGTAGTTAAGGTTTTCAAAATGGGTAGAGGAAAGGTTATTAATGAGAAAATTCGGTTACTGATAATTAAATTTTTTAATTCTGGGAAATCAAACTCAGAAATTGCAACTTTGTTAGAATTATCGCGGTACAGTGTGAGAAATATTGTTAATAGATATAACGTAACTGTTTCAGTTAATATTAAGCCACGATATGTGAAAAATAGTAAGTAAGAAGAATAATCGTGAAAAACAGGCGTGCCAATTATTTTTGTGTTCTGTGGAGTGACGCTGTTGGAAGGAGAGTTTCGAGGTCCACAACTCATAGAGAGGCCCACAAACTGGTATTTAGCAATTTCAAGGTAAATTTTCTTATAAAAAAAGTGAAGTAAAGACCCTAAAGTTACACAACTTGTTTATAGGCCAAAGAAAAGCCACTCTTAACTCCACTGCAAAAGAAAAATCGGCTTACATGGGCTAAAGAACATAGACAATGGACACCTCAACAATGGTATGCAATACATATACAATGGAGTGATGAGGCCCAATTCGAAGTTTGTGTTGGTGACAGTTGCAGTAGAGTTATTCGCAAAAAAATGAAGCATTCCATGTTGACTGTCTGAAGAGAAAAGTGAAATTCCCAGCATCCATTATGGTCTGGGGCAGTATGTCATCAAAAGGAGTAAGAAAACTTCATTTTATTGATGGAAATGTAGATAAAAACAAATATTTGGCAATTTTAGAAGAATCGATTTTACCAGTGATGGAAGAATGTTTGACATCCGGCCAAGATTTTGTGTTTCAGCAAGATGGTGCAGCGTGCCATACCTCAAAAAAGGCTATTAAATGGGTGGAAGAAAATAATGTACCACTTTTGAAGTGGGTTTCTAACAGTCCAGATCTGTCACCTATTGAAACTTTCTGTTACGAGTTGAAAAAGGTTCTACGACAACATCCTGCTCGTACAATGACCGAACTGAGACAAAAGCTCCAAGAAATATGGGATTGTTTTACACCAAATTTTTGCCAAAACTTGGTTAAAACTATGCCCCAAAGAATTTCAGCCGTAATAAAAAATAAAGGTGATGTTACCCAATGGTAATCTTTGCTTTGTTAACTTCGCGCATTTATTCGCACATTGTTTATTTGTTCAGATGTTCTATTACTTATAGGTCTAAGTGATTTCAAATATGTATTTTTCACGACTAGAGTATAGCTAAAATGTTTTTGAGAAAATAAATTGTTTTGGAAGTAAATAATTTCGTCATGTTTAGTTTATCAAGGCATATTTTGGTACAAATCTTGAAGTGGACCAACTGAAGTGGGAAGGGGCTCGTAGTTTTCAATTAGCAGCAGGCTCAGTTCTGTGCTCAAGTTACGACACATCTGTTCTACATAGATTTTTCAGAAAAATGTTGAACGTGCTCATGTGATAACATGTCGTATGCAGGCACCATATTAAAGTAATCCTGGTATTTTGTACTATAAAAAGAACTTCAAGTAAGATTTTACAGAAGTTTTCAACATAACAAAGATTTGAAACACGCAAATACCATATAGTGTGATTAGCTTAACATCACCTATGACTATTCCTGTACTGAGTACGTGGAATGAGCTGACATAATTTGAATCATATGTTTTTTATCTGACTCAGTTTGAGTTGTACGTTGTTTAGAGAGTAACTGTAAAATTGTTTATTTTCACTATATAATATAAAAATATTGCTATGTTTTTTCGGATTAAGGTGATGCTTGATTACCATCCAGGAAAATATAGTATACGTCCATAAAGTAATAGTCTTGTGGATCTCGTTTCTTTCTTATGGACTTATCTGATGGTTTTAATTCAACGTTTAATATTGTTCGTGCATGATACATGACTTATAATATATGTAAAGTCAGAATTTTCCTTTCTTTGTCAAAGCCAAATAAGGTTGTCCCAAACATGATAAAAAATTATAAAATAACAGAATTACGTTAAACTTCTTATTCTTATCCACCAAAAATAGCTGTATGAAATAATTTCATAGCATACCTAGTGGCGGCGCGATCGTCAAATTTCTGTTGATGGACTCTTTAATTGTCTCTACTGAAAAATTAACTTTTTGTGCTTAACCCAGTCTGGCTCTGAAGTACATAAATGTTCTTATAATTTTTGTTGTGCATGTGTGGTCAGTTGTATGGTGACTTGAGTCCACTGTGCAAAATGTCAACGGTCTCAATTGTGAGTTCTTACAAGCTTACCGTTACGTGCATGTCCTCTAGTCAACACTCGGATAAACAGATGAATTATACAGCGGAACCTATTGGTATATCCTAGTGTGTAAAAAGATCAACATACCTGACAGCAAATCGGACAAATCAACGATTTCTCTAACTTTCTTGAGCGTGTCACTATTGCCAGGAACCACAACACCGTTGTTGATCCTAAGCACCAGCTTTATGGAGAAGGACAACCTTTCTGAATGACTGATGGCATCGTTGCTAATAGCTGAGAGGCTGGTATCTAGAACTTCCTGATATTTCTCGTCAGATCAAGGCCACTGTAGTCGTCGAGGAACAGCAAAATGCCTTTCTTCACGTTATCCAGAGCTGTGATCAGGTTGAGGTCCCACAATTGGCTTAAGCTGTGTTCACCAGCTGGAACCCAAACTGATGGCGCACGATTACTGCAAGTGTCTACATACCCCGGTCTGAGGTACTCGTATGGAGCTGGTAAAGATTGCACGCTTGGTTTCATCACTGTGCTCTCTACCGTCAAAGCCAGCTTCAGTAGTATCTGCTGGAGCATGTTTTGGATCTCATACTCAATCTTTATGTTTAATGTTACCTGAAGGAACTTGATGTAGTCTTGAGTTAGAGGTTGAATTTTGACTGTAGGACGTCTAGTGACGCAAGAGCATTGGTTTCGCAACGTGGCAAGTACAATTTTTGTACGATAAATGATCTGTTGCTTTTGATTTGGCACAACTTCCTTGCCCAGTAGTTCCAGTAACCAATTGGTTAAGTATACGCTAGGATTATTCAGTGTGTCATCCTTGTTCACAGCATAGCCTTGCAGATGAATCACCATTATATTTAGGACTGCGGATAGATGCGACTCGTCCACGTTATTATTCAAAGGCTTCAGAACCTGAACGATACCTGAAAATAAAAAAAAAACCAGGTGTGTACAGATGTGCTAATAACATGCGATATTGTCAATTTCATTTTTGCCTTGAACTTTAAAAAAGGAAGCTCACGCGCAGAAAGGCAAAGCTATAATCTGGCCGGCCAAAATTAGTTTCACGAAATGCAGCAGAGGTGAAAAAACCCTATCGAATAGTGAATTAGATTAGTGGGGGATTCAAGTTATGTGCACCAATCGTATCCCTGGTTAATCATATTAAAGGGTTCTGTGATGTACTGCGTTTATTTTGTTTTGCATCAAAAGTAATTTTGTGAGTGCACCAAAGGTGTTATTCAGATGAGCTCTGACAGGTATAATAAAATGAGGAGGACCTCCATTGTGCGTAAAAATTATTTGGTTATGTACATTTAGATGATTTTTTTCTGGCAGTACGAGCAATTCTTGTTGAAGAAACTCTAAGTAAGATTCGCCGGTTAAACTTATTAATAAAAAGAAAGGAGTTACTATAATCACATGCATACGTTAAATGCATGTCTGTCATTTCCTCAAAACTGTAATTTTCCATCACAAAAACCGTGACAAAAACTTTTTAGAGAAATTTGCGAAGAAAATCACGTGAATTTTCTAGACGACCTGACGCGCAAATGTCAAAACCATTGTGCAGAAATGATTTTTTTTCCAATGCATTTGTAATTATTGTAGCAAAAATCAATAAACCAATTTTGTCCAAGGACATGCAATAAATCGGGTTTATTTTTTTTTCTCGAAAACGAAGTGAAGTACGAAAAAGGTACAAGAGGCAAAGAAGTTGTATTTTTAGATGCCTAATCAAACAGCAAATATTAAAGTTACAGAAAACGCAGTGGCGTACATTTTTTTGCCAATAATATTCGCTAAGGTGCCCCCCGGGATGCCACTGGACCTAATAATTTTAATCTAATCAGGGCTAGGTTATCTTATTACAACAAATAATATTGCCAAATATTAACAGAATCTATTGGATATTTTTCAAGATATTGATAAATAAAATATTTATCACCCTGTATCTTGAAAGTTAAGCATTTCCGGGCCCATGTTTATAGAAACCTTTTCGCATATTTCAAATTCAAAATATCGCCGTCTATTTTTCGAACACCCTGTATAGATCTTATACCTCTGATAGAGGTTGCATTTCCCCCGTTCGTTGTCCTACCTAAATCGCGCTGATGATATCCAGCGAGCATGAAATAACTGGTGCCAAAACGGAATGGCATAATACATCGCATGTCACTACGTATTAACGTTTTGTTGAATGCAGCAGAAGTACCAATACATCGTGCTACCCATGTGGCTACTCTGGCTCACTCTAAGTGCATATTATGTTATATGATGTCATACCTGAAATGATTTCTCTGGTGTATTCTCCCAGTGGTCTAGGTGACGATTCCTGGAACCATCTCACAATCGCCTTGCTGAGTACGAAGAACCGACTGTTTAGCTCTGGCAGTGGTTCCCTTTGGTGTGGTCGTAATACATTCGTGAACATCAAACACATTCTGGCAACAATGTGCCTCAGTTGGTCTATATTTCTCGGTTGGTTGACAGCTTGTATCAAACCTGAAACCCAATCCCTTACAGCAGACACCAAACTACCAGCTGTCACGTCATCGGTGATTACATGTGGCTGGAGAACTCCCAATAAGTGCTGAATAGTGTAGAGCAGATGTTTGTTCAAACGAGAGTTCACAGAGTTAGCGAAGGCAACCTGGGTGAAGATCTTCCTTATTGCTATCTTTAGTTGGCGTTTTTTGTATACTTTGCCTGACAGGGAAGCTTCTATGCGGGCTAGTGATTCTGGTAAGGGAACATCATTTTCACATCTTTGGTTTCTGAGTTGTCTGACCATATTGATTAATCTGTAGGACAAATCAACCGGCACGTCTCTACCAGCCAAAGTTATAAGCAGGCGTTGCAAATATGTATGTGAGTTGTATGGCAGGATCTCTGAACATTTGGTCATTTCCTTTACTATTTGTGGTAGACGGTACAAAAGCACTTCCAATTGTTCTAACGATATTTCGGCAACTCTTTGTTGCTTCTTTAGCTCTTCCACATACCTGCATACTGTATTTCGGTATTCCTGTATTTCTGTGGCATAGCGAACGATACTCTTCACAATCGTGATTTTTATTTTTGAAACCAGTGGGTGGGTAGGTGCTTGCAAAACTGGTGAATTTTGCAATACTTTCGATATGTCAGCTATAATACTATTAACTGAAAGCACTACATTTTGAACCTCCCTCTTTCCGTGATGCACATCCCTAACCAGGATCAATCCTTTCACGATTGTACTCCTAAATTGGTTAACCACCACGTGCGGTATACTGAATGCACCCGTTATCAAACTGGCAAGCCTCAATCCAATATTGTTAATCTCATAATTATTAGGAGTATTTATTATCGTCCTTCTATAGAACCTTTTAATGAACATGCTGATCTTAGCTAGTTTCTCAGGTGAGACAGGTGCATTAGATGTACCAGTTAGAGCCGCTAGAAGATCCTCAATGTTGCCCCACAAATTTTCGTCGAGATCATGGAAAAGCGCGGATTTCACAATTGGTTGGACAAAGAGGTCCGTCATATCTGGCTGTTTCTCTATGCCCCAATATTTGAATAAGGAGTACTCAAAGTCTTTCACGTATCTGTGGATCAGAGAATTGCTGCAACTGGCTTTAAGCGAGCTGTCAAGAACATGTAATTGTTCAACTACCTCTTTCAGCACTGATAACTGGGCATCTGGAAAGTCCAATTTCAAATTGTGCATGTCATGTCTCAGTTGCACAATTTCCCTGTTTGTACAATCTCCATTATTTGTCACCGAGGAATATATTTTTCTTACTATCTTTTCAAAGATTGAGTTCTGATGTCCGGCCAAGAGTCGTGGAAGACGTTGTTCTGACACCTTGACTTGATGAACCATCTTGATAACGCTATGTATGTAAGGAATCAATTTCTGAGGGGTCAGTCTTGGTCGGTGGGGCAACTTGTCCCATATCGACTCCAATTGCTTATTAGGGGTATAACTTGTTTGAGAATCTCATCAAGAGGAAATGTAGATGGCATAAGTATTTTTGAGAACAATTTTGACAAAACACCTTCGATCACTCGAAGAATGCTGGGTTGTGCGTTACGCAGGGAACTTAGGATTACTTTAACCAAAATATCGATTGTTCTTGGATTATTTTGTGGTACCGTAGTATGTAGTAACGAAGCTGTTAGACTGTACACCTGTCTAACTACTTCACAAAGTCCAGGGCGGTAGCCAATGAGCGTACCGACAATCCTTTCAATGCTGATTTTGATGTCAATTTTGATTCTATTCACAATTTTAGCTGTCTCAACAACCTCTGGTAAGAGTGTCAAGGGCTGATTCCCACCAACAAGCGTTTCAAGTGTCTCCTTCAAGGGAGATACAGCGTTGAGTACAGGTTCAGGCGTTGGAATATATGACGGTGTGTTGTCGTCAGGATTATTTCCATAATAGAGATCCCAGTCTATCGAAATTTCCGAATAGTAGCTTTCTACGACGTCTGGCATTTCTGGAACAGCCAGTTCAGTGCTAGGTTCAACTAACTCCACTGATTCCCGTTCTATAGTGATATTGACTGTAAGATCTTCATTGACTGTTTGATACACAGGCTGTTCTATATATGGCACCAGATTATTCTCATACGTAATGGAGATATTTGCCTCTATTTCTTCCTCTTCCACTACTAGAGGCAGATGTGTATTTTCGGGTGGATATGATTCGTCTACTTCTAATTCAAAAGAAATATTAGTATAACCCGGACGATCACCTGGATAATCCTGTCGGGGCAACAGGCCAGATTCAGATTCGTACTTTTGCTCAAACTCCAGCCTTAGCTCATGCTTTTCCTGGAATCGTTCCGGGACCGGTACAGGCGACGGTTCGACAACTGGTTCTGGAAATTGTTCTTCATATGACAGTTCTTCGAAAGTCATGTTAGCTTCCATACTGATCTCAAATTGTGGTTGTTCATATACTTGCGGTTCCTCTGGTGCCACATACTCTTCTGGACCAGGACCATACTCATAGGATTCTTGTGTAATTTCAAGGAATTTGTATTCATTATCTAGAGGAGGTGCGAGTTCTACATTCTGCTGAACCTCTACGTCAATCGTGATGTTAACTTCAGTTTGACTTTCTTGGACTGGCGGCGGTAGTTCCTCTAAGGGTCCACTAACCAGTCTAATTAGGAGGACAGTGGCATCCAACAATATCCTTATACTTTTAGGCTCTAATGGAACACCTTTGCAAGCTTCGATTAGAGTTACTATAATTTTGGTCTGACAGTAAAGTTCTTCCTCAGACCTCGGCCCTCCTAGTTTAAGTTGTGGCAAGAGTTCGAAGTACTTGTATATGTTGTGTAGAAAGGCACGTTTGAATCCCACCGGAAGCTGGAGACCGTAAACGCATCGTTTAAGTTCTATGTATACATCCCTTAAGACCGGTGTCACACTTCTTGGATGATGCTGAATTTGCCTGGAATCACAAACCCACAGTTTTATTGATAAGTAATGGAGGTCTGTAGCATTATACCGGATGTTTCAAATTCGACCATTACCGTTGGGATCTCGGAAGCGGTAAAACTGCGTACTTGGGTACTTGGGTAATTAAGCAAATGCCGATCAGAAAGGTTAGAAATTCAAAGTACTTCCGGAGAGAGACGGAAAAAACCGAATTTTCCCAAAATCTTTTTCAATTTTTTCCTGGCATTATTTTTAGTAGTAATGTTTTTTGGGCCAGGAAACAAGCATAATATAGGAGAATATCTTTTTCAATGAGCAGTTAATAAGATTCCATTACCAATTGTAAACATTATCAAAAATTTAGGGTTATGCTTGGACAATGCATTAAAGTAATAAATAAAGGAATAGGTTCAATTAGCAATGGACTGGAAATTTAAAAAAATGCACTATATCCATATCCATAATGTGCATTCTATAACTAATGTTTTTGTAATCTGTACAATACCACGCACAAGCTTGCTTCTGTGGGTTTTCTGTTTATTTACCATTCTAAACGGTGTACGCTTCTATATTCAGTTTACAATATTATCGATATTTTTTGTAAATGAGCTTTACTTTACTTCACTATATAGTATTCTCAAACAAAAATATCCTCACCCATGAATTCAAGAGTTTCTTGCCATATGTATAAAGGAAATTGCAAAAAGAACATATCTCAAAAAATACCAAAGTTTATTTTTGGTTCATAAAATTTTACTGAACAAATAAGCAAAGCACATTTTAAATAAATTCAACAAATTTGAAGACATCAATAATTTGGCCACCAGAAATCGACAATTATTAGTTATACCTAACACGACACAAAAGACATAAATCCATAGTAATAATTGATTTTTGATCCATTCAAAAAGGTCAATTTCATATTAGGATGCACGGCTGAGTAGAAAAATACCATCATGGTAACACTCCACTGAATCGATTCTCAAAATATTAGTGGCTTATGTTGTATGTTGGACATATTATGTAAAAGAATCCAATAAAGGTATTTTTTTATTATGTTCCGTCCTCGTCGAAATCAATATCTAGAATATATAACGTAGTACCCTCGTAGCTCGCCAAACCGAATCTCCACACCTTAGCATAACTATGTTATTACGGTATTTGCTTGTTACCATGTAACGGATGGTAATTTTTGACCCTATGTACGTCATATTACCTATTGCTGAAACCCCTAACTTGAGTTGTTACAATGGAAATGTACATTTAGTTGACACATACACTGCGTACAATTTGTGTAGTTGTGTACAACCTATCGTTTACTATTGTAGAGCGTTCGTAGTATGTTGTTGCAACTAGCTTTGAACATCTACGTTATGTATTCGACGAGGACAGAACATAGTTACATGATCAAACGAACTTACCTGTAAGTGATGTTCGATCTTAATTATGTGAAGTAAATAGCTCCACCGCTCCCTATGTATCACCCAATTGTTACAACAGCTTGGCTTTAAAGAAAATGAGTGTTTATAGGCGACCAGAGCGGAGGAAGGTAGGGGCGGCAAGTTGCCGCTTTCCCTGTTGCGTGCGCGCATTGTAATCGTGGCTTTGGAGAGCTACGAGGGTACTACGTTATGTATTCTGAATATTTACTTCGACGAGGGCTTCACATAATTAAGATCGAACATCACTTACAGGTAAGTTCGTTTGATCATGTAATTATTATTATATAGGCTTTGTTCCTTCCAATCTATTCGAATTCGTTGTTTTACTGCTGTGAGGCTATACAACGGCATAGACCAGCATTGGTGATGACGGTCGCATAGAATTATTGTATCTATCAACTGTCAACTTGCTTGACATGTACTGTACCTCAAAACCTTGGTGTTGATCAGCTCAACTAAGTAGCGAGGCTCTGATCCTCCCAAGGAAACGAAAATGGTTCTGAGGAAGTACGAGACTACCTGGTCGTTGGGAATGTTGTACCCAGCTTCTACTTGGGCGTCGGCCGAGATACTGTAACCTTGAACATCCTGAAAAAAGGTGATCATAAAAAAGGTTCCCTACACACACATACTGTGTCTTTCAAATTGAATCTCCACTATTAGGATCTTGGAAACGGTGAGAGCTATGAAATCGGGGCAAATTCGAAAAACCCACCTCAGATATTACTACTACTCGTATTTGTTCCTGAAGGCCGAAATCTTGAAAATTGAGAATTGTTTAACAGTTGTGTACTGAGGTCACTTACCAAGGAATCCTGTGGATACTTCACCTGAAAGGTAATACAAGTACGTTAGATTCACTTTTGTATATTTTTAACTTTAATATTTACGGAGGTCAATTCTTAGCGTAACAGAATACCATACTCAATGAGAAATGCTCCCTAAGAAATGATTACAGACTCTGCTAGCTGTTGACATTGATCAAACAAGGTTGTTTATCCATCTATCTTCGGCAAAGGAATATGATCATAGATTTTCATATCGTCAAACGTTTACCTGGATTCTAAATAGGAGAACCATTGTACCCTTTGAACTGCCAGAGTTCTTAAATGGCGTAATTTATTTAGATTTATTTGTAATAGTTGGCACCATGACATATAAGGAACAATGAAGTAAGTAGTCCATGCTCCAAATGCCTTTTGCGGATTGTATTTAGAGTGCATAACCGGTAGGAAGAACGTGGATCAATTACTCATCAGCTCCACACTACATATTCAAATTTTCATAACTATCTTACTTCAACTTTCTCAGTAATCGATCACTGCAGTCCTGCGTGGACACCTGTATATTAACACTTCCCTCGTAGTAGTATAGGAAGTCAGTTAATAGAAAAAGTTGTAGAAAGGTTCAACAATTGTAAGATTGAGGATGTGGAAAAGCTGCAGGCAAAACATATGCTATGTGGGTCAAAACTAATTTTTTATTTTGGTGAGTACCGCTGAAGCTTTCTAAAATTTCAGGGTTCTAGGTCGTACCGTTCATGTTAATTCCCTTAAAGCTTGATGTTTCGGAAAAAGTGAGAAAATGAGCGTTTTGGACACTTTTCCATTTTTTCTGTATACCCGTTCCTGAACCATTGCGTTGTGGTAATTTTTGCGGCAGGTATGTTGGTTGAAAGTATCTTTTTTGTTTAATTTTTCACTATTGTACTGAGCTCGTAACACGAATTAATTCCTCAAAGTTTCCTTTTTTTGTAAGGAAATTCCATCCTAACCGTAAAGTGAATTTTGTACTTAGACATAAGGAAATAGGTTCCAAATTTCGATATTTCGGCTCAAAATTCACCACTTTCATGAGAATGGGCCATGTCTCGGATCAGTCTTGATTTTCTTTCTGAAGAATACCTGTAGCGGCATGAGACTAGAATCTAAATTTCCTAGGTTGAACGCCTTGGCCTGGAGATACGCTTAATGCTTGACGGTTCGGAAAAATTTCGGCATTTTTGATAACTTTTCCATTTTCTCGCTACTGCTCTACCTGAAATGTCTTACGTCTTGAAAATAAGAGAATAAATGACCTTCAAATTGTGATCCGGTAACTTGTTCGGCAGATATTGCAGTCAAAATATCATTAAAGTTATATTTTTTGTGGAGAAAAGGAATCCACGGATAGGTACGTGAGTTGAATTTTATTGTCGGGCATAGATTTTTGCGGGTATACCTTGGCCAATGAACATTAAGCTATCTGTTGATATAGGTAGGTATACAGGTATAAGATATAAAAATTTTCCAGTAATCAAAAGTTTATCAAATGAGGCATCCCACAGGGAACGATTTTCAACATATATTTGAATGATATATTTCAAATCGATTGTGTGGGCAAAATAATAGGTTTTGCAGATGATACTGTAGACCATTATAAAGGTGATGAAAAAACATAGTTGATAATGGTTTCGGCAAAATTATTCACTGGCCTAAGAAAAACACATCTTTTGCATTTTCTTCAATAGGACATCCACCAAATTACAGAAACATCTATTTTTTCATAAAAAACCAGAAATTGTAAATGAATGGAGTATCACATACGAAATATGTTAGGAATATTCCTGAATCCACATCTGCATTGAGAACCACATCTCTTACAAGTTATCACCAACTATGACAAATTTACTAGTTACAATAAACAAAACTAACACAACCACCACAACCATCAAGTACGAGGAACGGTTGTATCTAGACCTAACAAATCTATAACATAACGATTGTGCCTTTACTTAGGACCAAAATTATACGCAAATTAACCTGACAATATAAAGAACCTACACTTTGGGGATAATTTAAAAAAAATTAAAGAATGGGTATTCCCTTTAGCAATGCCAGATATACACAATTTAATAGTAAATGCAAGCACAACACGATTTGTTGATTAATCGTATCATTATTTGTGCTTAATGTTTATACACAATTGCAGCATTGATGGTCCATGGAAAGGCAGTGCCTCCTAAAGACCTTTCTTTCATATTCAATTACCCGTTCTCATGTAGTGTTTAAGGAGTAACTAATGTTATTAGTTGTAGCATGGCTAGCCTTTCTGATTAGCTAAAGCTCCGATTACTTCTGCTACTGTCATAAAAATCGTAAATATTGAGCCAAGGCATGAAAAATTGAATTTATATTGGGGATAGGTTGGCTCTTCTCCATTACGAAACACATTAATTTTGTTGGTCTTTTGTTCTGGAAGGTATTTGAACTGTCAGGTCAATAAAACATTGCAAAAATTTTTATTTTGACCGAAAAAGATGCCGTACGTATTTTCAAACCACAATTTGGGGTCATCTTTTGGATATATAAGCTTTAAGAAAAAAGTTGAGCCTGACACAAGATATTACCTTCTGGCCAAGATTTGCAATTTTAGTATTGACTTAAATTCTCAAGTTTCCAAAATAAAATGTAAAAAATCTATGGGATCATGCTAAGATGAATGAAAACATTTACAGTAATTCAAGCGTGGAAATTAAGCCAGTATGACATCATTATAATCAACCGAAAGGTCGTCAATCAAAAAACTTTATGTACGATGGAAGTCCGAGAAACAACATCTCAATCATCCACATTCTCATTAATTTCAAACAACAGTTGAAAAATCCTACCTTGCTGAACTGGAGCCTAGCATGCCCCAAGGCACAAACTGTGGCAACAAGAAGCACCACCAAGATCTGCATGGTGCCTCAGGATATTGCTGCTGGTCACCAACTGTATTGTTGGAGGTGATGATCCAGTGGATACAGTTCCGCTATTTATATTAGAATCTTGGTCATCGTAAGCAAGATCGATTTTTTATTGACGATTGTCCTTCTTATCAACAGCATTGTAAAATCTGCTTTAGGTTTTATCAGATCCATTAAAGTGACGATTTAACGGCGGGTGTGATAAAACAATGGACTACGGTTGATTGAATTTTTGGACAGGGTGATTTGGCAGTCTCTTCAAATGTATTATTTATTCCCCGGAGGTTTCGCGCGTGAGTATGTATGCAGACAAAAATTCTACATGCTACCCGCAAACGATATGGATTTTTGATAGATTGGTAGTTTCTCATTTCCAAAGTCTCATTACAGAGTATTGGAATATATAGTCAGGATCGTAAATAGTATATATATAGTGTCCCAACAGCATGGGCACAACCAAATATCTCGGGTGATAAACAAACTTCAAATACAAATGCTTCAGGAAACCAAATGACGCATCTAGTGGTGACCTTGGATTTTACGTTGTCCTCCACATTGATGGTCATTTCAAGGGAAAGTCGATTTTTTAGATAGGAACCCCCATCTTTTATTGCAGAAATAGAAAGCAAAAAGAATTATATCAAGAGATTATTTCAATGTCGCTCTTTCAGGAAATGTTGTGAAGCAGCGGAAGCTGGAAAATGGAGAGGAACTTTTAATGCGAAAATTACAGAACATCCAATGCCACAACTGATGGTGACCTTCATTTTGACCTTGGCTATGATCTTGAAGGTCAATTCAAGATCAAATTGTTTTTCTTACAGCGGAAGCCTCTATTTTGATCCAGTGCTGAAGATGTATAACAATCTAACGTTCCAAAGTTTAATTAACGGAGGTAAAATCACACTTAGAGGTTGTATCAAGGTCAGATGTCTTATTTGTGTGGATTATAGACCGATAATCTTTGCAAGTGAAGAGGGAGATATTGGACTGCTTCTTCAAGATATTGAGAATTTTTTATATACCGCAGCAGCCGTGCAGACAGAAGCCTAAATGCCGGGACACCGTGGCTCCTATGAGGATCCCAAAACAATTTTGTTAATTCGACTTTTGAACTGCCTAAGATTAGCAGAACTGGGAAAAGTTTCATCTTGCAGATTATCCCACAATCTCGACACGCTCGGGACAAAGGAGCAGTTTTATCGGCCAGTTCTGGATGCACCAAATGTGAGAGCAGTACTCGGGGCTACGCCTTATCTGGGCCTTGTACAGAGTGAGAAGATCATCAGCACAAAGGTACTTCTTAGCACTAAGCAAATAGCCTACCTTTTTCTCAGCAGCTGCCGCTATTGACGAGATGTGTTCGTGCCAGATCAAATCCTCGATGATCTAGACTCCGACCAGCCGAAGTGAACGGCTCTTTGGCCGAACTAGGCCATCCATCGAAACGGGATGAGCGCTAGGACATTTTTCGTTCGTCACGGTACGGTACTGTGTTTTGGAAGCATTAAACTGTACAAGATTCTTGCGTCCCTGAGCAGCGAAAACCTCCAGGTCTCTCGTCAAAGAGGAAGTCGTCGATAGTCTTCTTTTTTCCAGCTCAGCGACAGAGATCGGCTTGTCACTCTGAATTCCTGCATGTGGTATGAAGAGGAGAACCCGCCAATTACGACAGATATATTGCGGCTAGAGAGAATTTTAGCCGCCCATGTCCAAAGCTTTGCTGGGAGGCCATAGGATGGAAGTTTCCATAAAAGGACTGATCAAACGCTTTCCTGATATCAAGAGCAACGACATGAACCTCACTATAAGACTGGATGAGTTTACTCCACAATTGCGTGACGTAAGCTAGGAGGTCCCCTGTGGATCGCTGGTGCCTGTCGCTAATGAATCTGTGACGTTCCAGGTAGTCACTAGTAGTAGTAAGGTAGTAAAACTATTTCCGGTCGATAAAGGCAAGACAGGCCAATGTCCGGCCAGTGAAGGCGAAACAGGTTTAGGCCCGGTGCCCGGCTATGGCAGGCGAAGTCCAACCAGTGAAGGTTTGAAGGGAATTTTGGATATTGCAAAAACCCAAAGTTATTATCGAGTACTAAAGGTTGTCGTTGCCTATTTTATCTCAATGCTGTGATATGGAAACTCTCAAATCATATCCTGTTGCTATTTCATCTTTCTCTGTACGTCCGTTAGTGAAACCTTTGAACATGAGGTTTTTCTCCATTTTCAGCGCTCGGCTCAAAATTGAGAGTTTCCATGTGAAAAAACCATTTAACCTTGAATTGACTTTCAAGGTCACCGTCAGGTGGCTGTTGATCTTGTTAAAAGCAGTGTTACTCAATGCGGTGGTACAACTAAATTAAGATTGGGTCCTAGGACTTGGGCACTACAGTGCAACGAAAACTCTTGCTAAATGTCAGCAAACCTACGGAGACAGTGTTTTGTCAAGAGCCTAGGTTTTTCGGTGGTTTAAAGGGTTTTCAGAAGGGAGAGAATCGATTAAAGATAAATCACTAATCGGAAGGTCTTCATCTCCAAGAGCCGATGAAAATATCGACAGAATCCAGGATCTTGTGCGTGCAGATCTTTTGTTGACAGTCAGGATGATCTGGGAAGAGTTATATTTGAAAGATGCAGATTTTAAAGCAGAATTCTTATTGTATTTTCATATTGTTATGTCTGAGTGCTGATACACCTATTGCAAAATGTACCTAAATAAGTTCATTTTGATGCTGCGATCTTTGGTCAGCATGTGTGATGTAGAGCTAGGTTTCTTTTGAAGCGGTAATGATGTCTTAATACACAACTAATCAGTCTTAATGAGTACAAAATTAGTCCTGATGTACTATTCATGATACATTGTCTACACTATGCAAAGAAGAATTTCATTATTCAATTTGTAAGATTTACTCTTGTTCCTCGAGTATTGATACATACTGTTGTTAGTTTTCAGAACGTCATGCCTAGAGATCCCCTAAAATGTATTTTAACAAGACCAATTTGTAATGACAGCAAGTCTTTTTATAGATTTTCGTTAGATTTATCTCTTCTTAACGTTAACTGAATGGATGTTTTGTTAATTAAAGCATATAACTTTAATCTCTAAATGAAAAATAATAGATTTTTATTTTGATGTTTGCTCAATTTAGATTCAAGATTTGACCAAAATTAGTTCTTTTTCGTGCAATATTTCAAATTGTCTTAATTATTTGAGTCAGTGGAGAAATATATGTTTAGGTACCAATAATGGCCGAGAGACTGTACAAATAAAAATTATGTCCTAGCAGTATCCGCTTTCTTTTAATACATGCAGTAATAATTATCCAAAGTGTCCGTCAATGATCCATTGTTGACTTAGGTATAGGAGACTGTACCCTTCCCCTAGTACAGAACCGATCACTTGAAAACTCAAAACAAAACAAGTGACGTGAGAAAACTACGCCATAATTTAAAAAATAGTAATATAAGAAGTTGAAACAAAAAAAATAACTTTTATATCTTTTTTGTAATATCTCAACAAAAAGTGATCCCATCACTACTTGTATTCCATGAAAATTCAGTGATGAGAGGAGGGAAAAATAAGTGTAGACAAATCCTCAAAATATTTATTCACAGCAAACTAAAGCGTATCCATACATCCAGTAGCATCCGCCTATCCATTGCCCCTGAAAAAAAATTGTGCTTGGAACCTGAAAGCTGTACTTAACTTTCTGGAGAAAGCTTATTTTTGGAAATGATACTAAACTATGAGCAGGTAATTATTAAAACAAGATATCAACAAGCAGATGTAACAATAGTTTTGACTTAACTGATGACTGCGTGGGCTCAAATTCACTCTATCAGCACTAAAATCATATGAAATATGAATGTATCCTTTGGTTAAAAGTTACCTATGCTCCTTGCTTTTGCTTTTTGCAGCATTCAATTTATAATAGTCTTTTAACTTTTCGGAAAGTGTGCTCGGCTTTGAAGTTGCTTCTGAACTCGTTACGCCTGATATAAGTCCACCTGACAACGGCATGGCCAAATAGCATCCCAGAGCTCGCATAATCCGACTTCTAGAATCCGACGAGATTTCACCATTTAGTATTCTTTCTATTAGTATACCTAATGCTTCATCTTCTGGCACACCTAAAATTTGTAATTTTTTCAATACACAACGCGTTACAGAATGTTGTCAGGGAGGCTGAAGACATTTAGCAAATTGAAAAACAAAGTGACCTCAAGTAGGTCGATCCAGCACTTTACATCATTACATATAGGATCAGGTTTGGAACAAGTTGATCCCTCTGATAAAAAGATTAGCTACGAACATGTATATAAAAAATTAAAATGGATCAAGTTAGTCAAGCAGGCTCATACAATTAGGATTTGCGTATTAATCATACTTCTCTGGAAAATTTTGGAGCTCTTTAGGATTTAGCTTCCTGAGAAAATATGTTACCCCTATCTCTGAAAAACGTTTTGGAGGCAGGTACGCTCTCACACAAAGTTATCTCTTACAAAAATTTCAGCGGCCGCATATGATTGAAAGTATGCTTTTTTTTATTTTATTATATTCTATTATATGCTATGTATTTATCTCATGTATGAAGGTTACTTCAATTTATTCTATGCTATGCTTGATGTATCCTTGGCTTTATTGTTCACAACACAAAAGCAACTACCAGTTTTGTAATGTCATTTTAGTTTTATTGTCCTTTACCATAGATGTACCCTTTTAACGTATTATTTTTGTTTTTTAATTTATGTTATTTATTATAAAATTTAGTTAAAGTGCCACAGTGTCAGTTCAAAGTTTTGTTGTTTCTGCCAGTGATCCTGTAACACCAAATTATGTCAGTGCGTGTGTTAGAACCACATAGTTCATCAGCAAATTCTTGATAGACTTCATTTATAACTGCCGATATGCAATTTACAATACTGGGATGACCCCACCCAAGATTTGTCTTTCGTGGCATTTTTTTTTTATTTGTCGTTGATACTCCTTTGTTGCAACAATCTTTGAAATTTATATTTTTGTAATTGTATTTAGCAAATAAATAATGATTATTATTATTACTATTACGATCGATGGTTCACAACAGGCGAGCAGCGGAGGCCGAGTGCTACACATATTAAGCATAGTACAGGTATGTACACTTGAGTGCTTTATATCGTAGAACTGGAAAACTATAGAAAATATATTAACTGCTTAAATAACGAAATGTATGGAGAATGCGGATATTATGTTTAACGTGTGCGCATTATTAGTGGGATCAGATGCTTGTTAATAATAATAGAAGTGAGCGGGAGTGTCTGAAAAGTTAACAACGTAGTTTCACTGATGTTGCAATTTTATCTTGCCCATGGCTTTGCCGCCACTGGCTTTCTGAACGGTTTTTCTATCCTTGGCATAACAGTAAGCGTGTGTGTCAAAATCTCATTCAAATTCGCGGTGCTTTAAAGATAGGCAGGAGGGCCAATGGAAATGAGTGACATGGCATTTTATGATGTAAGTCTCCTGTAACTAACATCCGAAAAAACATAATACCTTTTTTAAGTGTTTGGCATAGAAAGTTAGCCCGTCAGGTGTGTTAGAGTACTTCGTAGAGCTCCGGATCTAAATCTCAAATAAGTGTCTTAATTTGGTTCAATAAACGTTCAATGAAACAATGCGTTTCTGTGGGGCAACCCATAGCATTTGAGTAGTTAAATACCTTTTTTGGAAGGATTTTCTGGTTCATCTGGCCTTTCTTCATAACCTTTCCCTCCCGGGTATACCCAAAGTCCTAAAGGTTCCTTAGATTGGTTTGGTCTTTCTCCAAAATATTTTCCTCCAGGGAATATCCAAAGTTTTGATAGTCGCTCTGGTTGCGTCAGTCCTCCAATATATTTTCCTCCAGGGTATGCCCAAGGTTTTGATAGTCCCCCTATTTGTATTGGCCTTTCTACAGAATGTTTACCTCCCGGGTATGCCAAAGCGTTGATGGTCCTTCCAGTTGGATTGGTCTTGGTCCCTCTGGCTGCATCGGCCTTTCTTCAAGCTGTTTTTCTCCCGGATATGCCCAAGGCTTAGATGGTCCCTCTTGTTGGACTGGTCTTTCTCCAAAATCATGTTTTCCTTCAATTTCTGATCCCCGGTATACCCAAAGTGTGGGTGGTGCCTTCGGTTGAATTGGCCTTTTTTCAAAAATTTTCCCTCCCGGGTATACCCAAAGTTTTGATAGTCCCTCTGGGTGGATTGGTTTTTTTTCCAAAAATTTCTTTTCCCTCCGGGTCTACCAAAGGTTTTGATTGTTTCTCTAGTTGGATGGGTCCTTTTCCAAAATCATTCCTATCTACCCAAGCTTGTGATAAACCCACTGGTGAGATTGTTTTTTCTCCAAGACCTGTTTTAAATTCCGGGTAAGCCCAAAGTGTGAAAGCTCCCTTCGGCTGCGCTGGCCTCTGTCCAAAATCTTTTCCTCCCAGGTATTTCCAAAGTTTTGATGATTTTTCTAGTTGGATTGGCTTCTGTCTAAAATCCTTTTTTCCCTCTGGATATACCCAAAGTCCTAATGGTCTCTCTGGCGCAATTGGTTTTTCACCAAAATCTTTGTTTTTCCCCGGATATATCCAAGGTGTGGATGGTCCCTTCGGTTGGATTGGTCTTTCTCCAAAGATTTCTTTCTCTTGCGGATCTACCAAAGGTTTTGATTGTTTCTCTAGTTGGACTGGTCCTTTTCCAGAATCATTTCTATCCACCCAAGCTTGTGATGAACCCACTGGTGAGATTGTTTTTTCTCCAAAATCTGTTTTAAATTCCGGGTAAGCCCAAAGTGTGGAAGCTCCCGTCGGCTGGGCTGGCCTCTTTCCAAAATCTTTTCCTCCCAGGTATTGCCAAAGTTTTGATGGTTTCTCTAGTTGGAATGGTCCTTCACCAAATATTTTCTATCCGGGTACACCCAAAGTTGTGGTGAACGCTCTGGTTTTTCTCCAAAATCTGTTTTTGATCCCGGGTGAATCCAAATTGTGGATGGTCCGTTCGGTTGAATTGGCCTTTTTTCAAAATTCTTTCCTCCCGGGTATACCCAAAGATGGGTTGCCTTCTCTCCGAAATCTGCTTTCGCATCTGGGTATTCCCAAAGTTTTGATGGTCCCTCTGAGTAGATTGGAGTTCCTCCAAAAATTAATGCCCCTTCCGGGTCTACCAAAGATTTTGATGGTATCTGTAGTTGGATAGGTCCTTCACCAACATATTTTCTATCCGGGTATATCCAAAGTTGTGATGAATCCTCAGGCGCAATTGTTTTTTTTACCAAAATCTGTTTTTGCTCCCGGATAAACCCAAAGTTTGGATTGTCCCTTCGGTTGAACTGGCCTCTTTCCAAAACCTTTTCCTCCCGGGTATACCCAGAGTTTTGATGGTTTCTCTGGTTTGATTGACTTTTCTCCAAACTCTGCTTTTGCATCTGGGTATAGCCAAAGTTTTGATGGGCCCTCCGGGTGGATTGGCCTTTTTCCAAACATTTCTTTTCCCTCCGGGTATACCCAAAGATTTGATGGTCCCTCCGGGTGGACTGGTCCTTTTTCAAAAATTTCTTTTCCTTCCGGGTATACCCAAGGTTTTAATGGTCCCTCCAGTTGAATTGGTCTTCCTCCAAAATCCTTGCCTCCCGGATAAGTATCTTTTTCTCCGGAGTATACAGAAACTTTCCATGGAGCTCGATTTTGATTCACTCCCTTTGTGTGAATAGTAGGTTTTGATGTACTTTGCTGTTGTGGTGAATGTAAGAGTTGTAATTTATGTTGCGGAAAAGAGGTTTTCGTTTTTTTCTCCATTGGGCCTCGTTTTTGCAGATCCTCCGACTTAGCTGAGGGCCGTTCTCTCTGAGGAGACTCAGTTGGTTTAGATGAATTGCTTTCTTCAGAGGGTGCTGGATGTACTGCTGGATCTAGATCAAGCTGTATATTTTGGTATTGTTGTTTCGAGTCACCAACTGGTCGTGCTATTGGACTTTTGCCTATTGGTGGTGCTGAATCTATAGTTGGAAGTTCTTTCTGTGGTGCGATTTGAGTTTCTTGCTTCAATTTATCTAGCTTAACGGGTTCCGCAGATTTACTTGGTGCTTTGTGCTCCATATTTTGAGATGCTGCATGTTCTTGTGGTTGTTCAACCTCATGAGATATATGCGTTGTGTTCCATTGGGGTGCTCCAGCAGTGATGTTTTCTGTAATCAATCAAAAAACAAAACGGGTAAGTTAAGCATCATCATAGTCAAGCTACTGGAAGTACATTCAACGAAGCTGAAAATGTCATAATTATGTATTGTCTAGTATATGGTGTAAATCCTGAATGAATAGAGTTAAATAGAATTCAAAATGTCAGAAAGGTCCTTTGATCCAGGGATAGAAGGTGTGATGAATATGCGGTTTGCAAGTGTTCTAGAGCATGGCCTGTGTACACAGTTCAAAAGAAGAGGTTGTACCAAGAGGTTGCTCAGTTGTTTCGTTTTTCTTGAGCAGTTTGAACAACATCCTCCTAGGAGCTGGGTCTTCCTGTGAAATCCTCCGAGCCTCGCCCATGTTCTGTAATAAACCAGAAAGCAAAACTGTTACATGCTATACAACACATAGTGGAGACAGAAGCTGAGCAAGGAATCCTCGGATGAAATAGACCAAAACTCAATAATCCAAATGATGTTATTATATCATGAAAAACAGTTTACAGTACAGTTTTCTTGAGGCACCACGAGGCGAAACAAGCGCGAGAGTGTACATGTACAGGGTAGGGCATAAATACTTTCCTAAACTAATCATACCTAACGCCATTTTAAGTCAATGAGTTGTAAAAACGCATCATTTAAGTGTGCACCTCAATTATTGATACACTGATAAGTTTCCATCTCCGTATCATGTCAGGCGGATTGGCAGCAATTTCCTCGATTATCAACCCCCTAAGACTGTCACGAGTCTGGGAGCGATGTTGGCATACCTTTTCCTTAAGGTAGCACCAAAGGAAAAAATCGCTTATGGTTAAGCTCGGTGAGGGCGGAGGCCACCCGATGCTACTATGCAAAAGAACCGTTTACTTAGATTAACCTTTCAGTACTCGCGCCACAAATTTCACCATGAGTACTCGCTTGGGGTATTTATATACCCCAATTGAAATAAGCAACAAATAGAATACTTTCAAAATGTTTTTGATTATTTTCATAGTCGACAGGGTATTAACTGAATGATTCCAAATAACACAATATTTATTGTTGAAATAAATTCATTGAGTAACACAAAATTTATTATAAAAAATAGATATTTACATAACTAAAGCTACTAAGTTTCAGTTGCTTTCAACTTCTGGAGAACCTTCTTTCTCAAAACAACCTCTGCATGTAATAATTTGATGCATTTTACATAGAAATTTACTGCATCTTAGGCAAGTTATTGTTGTCTTTTTGTCCAAATTTCGGGGGCATAAATTGCATCTTCCTTTTCCAGTCTTTTGTTTCTTTTTTGGTTGTTGATCTTCGGCATCAATATTGGAAGTAGAAGCTGATAAGTCATTAATCTTTAGGAGAATACATCCCCGCTGTTTAATATCTTTTGGTACATTTTGAGAATAAATCCTCATCAGTATTTGTGGCCGCACAAGCTCCGCCGAAATATTTTTTATAAAGAATTCTCTTTTAATTTTCTCAAATTTATTATTCATTGCATGCAGGCAAAGCGCATTGATACCTGCAATATTCAGGATATCGAAGAAAGCTGTAAGTGGCCAACGCCTACTATTTCTTGCCACATCATAGTGTGCACACAATTTATCTACAGTATCCACACCCGATTTTGTACGATTATATTCAAGCACAATTTCTGGTTTCAGGGAATCTTTATCTACTTCGCAATCATGGTGCATTGTGGATAATAATAAAACGTTCCTATATTTTTTTGGAACATAAGAGACTAATGTACAGTAATCTGTGAAGGCAAAAATGCTACTATTTTCAGTACGTGAACGTGTGTTTGTAAATTCTAAAGGGACTTCCCTCTTGTTCTTTTTTAGTGTGCCAATCATGGTAAGCTTATCCTTGAGCAATTCTTTAGCAAGAGGGATACTTGAAAACCAATTGTCCATGGTGATATTTCGTCCAGTACCTTTCAACGGTTCCACAAGCCGCTTTACGACATCCGACGGCTTATTACTGACTAAGAATGGCCCTTCAGGTTGTGCTCCAGCATAAATCTCTAAATTATAGGTATACATTGTTTTTACATCAGCCAATGCGTATATCTTCAGACCATATTTATTGGGTTTATTAGGTATATATTGTTTGAATGGGCACCTACCACGGAAAGCAACCAGCTGTTCGTCGATTGTCAAATAAGAACTTGGAATTACTGAAGTTCTGCACTTGAAGACAAAACGTTCAAAGATGTCCCTTATTGGTGCCAGCTTATCCAAACTCCGTCTTGCCTCCCTAGTAGAAATATCATCAAAGCGTATACAACGACATAAAAACCTAAAACGATTGTAGCTCATCGTAATGTATATGTGTTCAATGCCTGAACCATCTGTGCTCCATAAAGATAAGACATTCTGTCGGCCAGATTTCAAACAACCAGCAAGATATAGAACGCCTACAAATGCTTTCATTTCGCAAACATCAGTTGGTCGCGCATCTCTTTTACGGGTAAAGTTTCCCCGGAGTTTTTCTATATATATATTGGTACATTCTACTATTCTGGTAAACATGGAATCATCTATGAAAACGTGGAAACAGTCTAAATGCGATTTGGCCTTTTTTGCGTCTCCAGTAGGCCCTGGAATTTTCTTGACCAGGTTATGTGCTTTTGTCCTAGATGAAGATGGTTTTGTTTTCTGCCATATAAATGTCTTGTCTTTCCCTACATATATGTCAGTTCCGCTCAATATATTTTCTGCTTGTAATTCACCTTCACTACCTTCATTATCAGAATTTGGGTCCTGCTCAGTATCTGAACCGCTTCTTTGTACCTCTTCCTGATCGCCATCATCTTCTTCCGAGTCTTCTTCCCCGTAGACCTCCTCGTCGGACTCTATTTCTTCAAACCATTTTAGCCACTGCTTGGGATCATTGCTACGTACGTTGTCCATGGCTTTGCCTTGGAAAAGTTGAAAATATTTATCAGAAATACGTCAAATACTTTAAAATATAACCTACCAAAACTTTTACGTCAGTACTCGCGTGGGGTACGTAAAGACCCCAATCAACTTTACCTACTCCTGGTAAAATAGTTTAATTGTATTTATGAAATGTTTGATTAGTTCAGGAAAAAGTGTTGGCCCAGTCTATGTATTATTTTAGTTAAATTTAAAAGTGTATTTGGATAATGAATGATGTATTTATTATAACAACTCTGGCAGATCTTAGATATCAGACATTTTGGAAAATTTTTTGTAACTCTAACAAAATTTGTTATTCCATTAATTGTATATATACATATATATGGGACCAAGTCTCGCCAGTTATCTGTCTGATTGTCCAGAAACAGGTTATATCACCATTCACTAGAAGCAACCCTACACCAAGCTGAAGAGTTGCCAAATAGCACGGAACAGCTGTCCATGGTTGTCCGTCTGTGGTCGGAATAATGAAAGCTATATTACTAGTTTGTACAAAAAATATCAGTGATTCTAACACTTATCTCAAGCACGACCCTTCTTTTGTTCAAAAGATTGTTCAGGATCCCATGCCTATACCCATACTCATCACCCAAACAAAAAAACTCACAAAATACCCTTTTACGAGGATTTTGTGATTTTACAAATTTCATTCTACTTTACTGTTTAAGTTAAAATCAAACGTCTACAATTATATTAGCAATTGCTACAATATTTAGTTTTATGTTTTGTTTGATAATTAGTCGCTAATTTTTAGTTATGGCGTTATTAAAACAAAAATTGATGCTTTAACAAAACGATATTTTTGTTTTATATTGTAAATTTCTGGTGACCTCCGTGATACGTCATTACTACACCCCTAGGGGGTCTCGAAGCACTGCTGTATGATACCAGAAATGCTAGACAGCCCAATATTTGGTAAAACGGCAGACTAAGGTACGAGTCACGGTCACATGAAGTCACAAACATAGTTAAGTTGCGAGACGAGTAGTATCCAACCAGTGTTGTATTTATACTTCCTATGATATTCATACATAACTAAACTGAATACTTACCGAGCCATCTTCTACCGCCCAAATAGTTCCGCATAGCAACACGAGTATAAAAATGTGAGTACTGTTCATACCAGATACTACTAAACCTATGGAACATAAACTACTGCTTATGATATCCAATGCAGTTGAATTAATTTAAGAACTACAAAACTGTAACTCAATTTATTTCAAATATATCGTAGATTATGATTTCTGCGTTATTCGATGGATTTATTTTGATTCAATAGCAGGATATTCCAACGTTATCTTAAATTGAATTTAATGCCCACGTGATGAATGATACGCAACAAACAGAACAATGCTTAAAGAATGTTTAGTATAAAAGTGAAACACAAGGCAGCAAGTATCACAACGCCAAAACACCATAGGGTATTTTCTCGGTACTGCTCCTCAAACGGTGTAGCTTGTGAGATTTGGTAGCAAGTCACGAAATGCCGTGTTATACGGGGTCTGTAAATTAAGTGATGACACTGGCAACGTAGCCTTAGACCTGGCAACAATAGAGGCGCCGGGAGAGACAGGGGAAACGTGTGAGCCACCTTCAATACAAGTTTGCACTCCCTCGAATAATTTTGTTGCCCGGAGGGATTTTTTTTGTGAAGCAGATTTTCCTATTTTGTCCTAAAAATGAATGACATCAATTTTGAGCAACGGTGTGCTATCAGGTTATGCTGCAGACTTGGGCATAGTTCATCCAAAACTGTTGCTGAAGAGCCCAGGTTTTTCGGTGATTGAAGGCATTTTTAGAAGGGACAGAGGCGATTGAAGATGAACCACGAAGCGGTATCTGCAAGAGCCGATGAAAATATCGACAGAATCCGGGATCTTGTGCATTCAGATCGTCGGATGACAGTCAGAATGATAAGAGTTGAATTTCACTCACACTACCGTTCATCAGGTCAAGAATAAGTGGGTGTTGCATCACGATAATGCTCCTTGTCACACAGCAATGTCAGTAAACAAGTTTTTGGCCAGTAAAAACATTCTTGTAGCTCTCCAGCCTCCTTATTCGCCTGACTTGAGTCCTTGTGACTTTTTTTCTCTGCCCGGAGTTGAAAAATCACCACATTATTATTATTATTACGGACCGATGACAACGTTGCGTTGGAAGTGCAGAGTCTTGTGATTGACGCATTTTTTTAGTATGAAATGGCTGTCGATGTCGATAACGTTTCACAGACTCTTGTTATATGTTACCAGAAACATATTTTTTTCATATACTGTTTTTCAAGTCCTCTCTATTTCCGTACGTCGTACATGGAATCAAATAGAGTAAGAGTAGTAACCGTAGCCCCTTTATGGCCTTTTTTTCTATCTTCCCAAGACGAAAGTTCAACAAAATCCGCCAAATAAAAGTCACTATTAACGGTCCTCCCGGTCTGGTCCGACTGCTGTTATTAGGAAGAATTAGAGATCCTAATATATAATTACAATTAAGAAGAAACAGTTTAGGGAATAGAGTTATTGCTGTCTGGGTGGACAGTGCCTTATAAATAGCTGGAGTGGACTTAAAGCTACGACAAATGGCCATGTAATTTCGTAAACTGATGTCTTGGGCATTTAAGCATTTATGTCTCTTTTTTGCTATGGTCAGTGGCAGTGCCGCAAGAAGACTCCAGAGTAATGGAGACCTAGCTTTATGATGCTTTATGAGAGTACAGCAAAAGCTAGTTCTCATCCTACCAGATCAGACACGATACTAGTCTCAATAATTAGATTTTGAGATGTAATGCTCAACGTATTCGATGATGCGCTTTACTCATGAAGTTGACGTTCCAACATTTATTTAACGCCTTCTGAGCCTCACAATGAGAAACATGTATTTCGACAAAAAACTGATGTCTGAAAATGAGAAACAATCTCTGAAGCATTGTAACAGTATATTCCAGCGATTTTATTTCCATTGCCTCTGAATCAAAATCTACGACTACCTGAACTATGGAAAAATTGAACTCGCGGTTCACAAGTTTTCTGGTGCTTAAAGATATTTGTATCACACAAGTCCATGTTTCTCATTTATATCGGATCATAAAATACAGAAAAATATATGTGTAGACATAAAAACGGTCAGGCCATCATTTACAAAAGCATCGCAGAACTCCAAAGTGATAGATACTACTAATATCCAAATGTTGCTAAAATATATAAATATTTGTCCTGAAGCGGTGTGTCAGTGACGACACATTGCACATTCAGCAGTGGCCACCACGACGATGCAGCATTATGCCCTATGCGCAACGCCAACGATTGCAATTTCGAATTATGGGTAGATTATACATCGGACTTTTGTCATTTAATTTTCCCATTGTTACCTAGATAGCATCGCAAGCTCTCAGGCACCTGAACATAATCGTTCTCGAAGCTTCGCAAGCTGCGATACATGATAGTGTAGCCCTGGTTGCCTAAATATGCGTGCGCATTTTCCAGCCACCTAAGGCTCCAGTTACGAGGGAGCTACAATATTACGTTACCTACCTTAAATTTGGATTTGAAATACTTTCGTTAATTTTTGCTTCTTTTACCAAAAGATGCACAAGTTTTGAGAGTAACTAAAATGAAAATTGTTAACGGCCCGCTTAAAATGTTTCGCTCTTCCAGTTGGCCCAATTTTTGAAGAAGTCTAGCACTCCTAGTGTACACGAAAACAACAAAATGGCGGATTTGTATTTCAGACGGAAGTCCGTAACTTGTTTATTGTCACTATTTAAGCCCATTTGCTTGAAATTTTCTCTTTAACTTTGAAATAGGTTTTTAACTTTTTGCATAATTGGACCACTGTGCACTGGGTTAAAAAATCGATGCAGTACACATGCCTAGGACGTATTTTTGCACGAGGAAAGAAGAAGCTGGCTATGCGTGCGTAACGTCAAAGCAATTATCTGCAGCTCATTGGTCAAACACTTTGCCCGTTCATTATCGATCTGAAATCTATGCGCGTGCAGCATTTTTTATAGCAAAAAGCGTTTGCCAACCATATAGGCCTGTTTGGGTTATCCAACTGTATCCGTATAGGGCAAAAAAATCTGGGACAATGATGTAAAGTAATGGCATCGATAAATATCTCAGAAATAACACATTTTGAGACTTGGTAATCTACAAGAAATATAGAAAAAAGGATGTTTTGCTGAATTCCACCAGTCAAATTTTCACGCAATGCAAGGCATAGTATATGCCAAGGATGAAAAACCTTTGTAGTTTTTGAAAATCGGTCTAAGGCCAAAAACGAGAAAATAAAAATCATCCAAACCTCGTTGTTTGACGCTTTAGAAGCTCCTCCTCCTAGCAAAGTATTTGCATTTCTCGTGTGTCTATTGCGGGTCTCAGGTTCCCTTTCTTCGTGCAAAGAGCGCCGCCTGCGTATCACTGTATCGCTGACGTTCTCGATCTCGAGTAACAGCAGCGTCTCAGCAGTCGTCGCATGAAATGTGTAATTGTATACGAATTATCATATATTATCATACACAGTGACGTAGCATGGAGTTATCTATTAAGAAGAGGCACTGTGGTGACTGCAGCGTTCAGGTTCAGGAAGACGTCGATGTCACGGGACGGGGGCGATACCTGCGATTGCCTGAGCTCCTTCAGGACTTATTTCCTGACACAAAGAATTGTACCGATTCGGAATTTATGTATCCAAGATCTTCAATATGCACATATTGGAAACTTGAAAGCTGTTACATATAGACATTCCTTAAGGATTGAGTGACATTTGAGTGATAATCTCCCCTGAGATCTTAAACAATTAAAAATGGTTCCTTGAGGAACTTTCAGGGAGAATTTAGCATTTGCAGTTAACAGTAGGCTGTTCAGTCTCACAAGTTTTCAAAATTTAGAAAGGTTTCAAAATTCACAAAACTACCGAAAAAAAATTTGATATTTTAAAAACCTCGAAGATTTTGCACGTTCTGGAAAATGAAAATACGAAAATCTTAAAGACCCTAATCTTGAAAGTCATGAAGAACTTGTATATTTTTAAAATCATGGAATTTTTGAAGGTTTTGAAAATCTTAAAGATTCCTAATTTTTTGAAGAATATCACAATTCAAAGTTTTGGACATGGTGAGAGGTACACTTTAACTCCTTCCTTGAAGGTTCCTCGAAGAAGATTTATTGTTCAAAAGGAGTTATCATCCCTCAATCCAGAAGGAACGTCTACGAATATGCCCCTTATGTACTTTACACCACTCATATTCATTCTAGTGAATCTACATCACCATTTACCTAGTCGCCTCTCTCAAAATATGAAGCTTCATCATTTCCTCGCGCCCATAAACTTTTCTCTGAAATTTTCCATGCATCAACCTATGCACTTTCCCCAATTTACTCACTTGTTTGTTCCATTCGAGCGAACTGCCCTAAAAAACCCATCAGTGTGTTTACACGGCAGATGTACCAATCACATTTACATATCATCCTTTTTCCCTTTTTAACCGGCGAAAGTTGGAAACAACTTCCGGTTCCGCTGAAAGCGGCGTATCGTTTTAAGATTGATGATAGTGCTGCTCTGAAATGCATATATTTGAAAAATGGAGTGCGGAGTAGTACGGTCAAGTGATATTGATGAGCCCATCTGCTCAGGCGGGTTTTTGCAACCGGAGACAGTTTACAGATTGATTTCTGATCCGGAGAAAGAAACAACACATGTAGAAAATGAAGTGGTGAGCTTACGTATACCGGGTGTTTGGAATCCGACCCTCACCATTAGGATTTCGGAAACGGTAAGAGATAAGTAAGTCGCTTAATTGGGGTCAAAGTTGCATATTAAGATAACTAAAAAATGTCGACATTCAAAGTACTCCCGGAGAGACACGGAAAAACGCGAATTTTCCTAAAATCATGTTTTTCCGACTTTATTTGTAGTGTGATTTTAAAATAAATTCCACATTAACATTGGCACAATTTCAATATGACGTTTCGTATTATTTATTTTGGACGCCATATTGGACTTTTGCACAGATGAATAGAGTCTTTTATTCTGATTTATTACGTCATATACTGACATTGCCAAATCTTAGTTATTTCAAAGAAACCAAATTTCATAGGTAGGCCTGAAATTATCAGATAGTCATTTTTTTCGTAGATTTATCGGAAAATCGTTATTTGTTTTTCCTGACTTTACTTGAGATGGAACTTCAAAGTGAATCATATCCGTACTCGGTTACTATATTCAATTTGAGGTCTCATCTGGT